CGAGTGCCCCTTCCCTAAAAGCCATTGGGAGTGGTTAGATAATATTTGGCTTGGTAGCAAAGTTCCTAATACGAAACGAAGCTTGCTACCGGGCCAAAGATTATCCAACTATTCACTAGTGGAATCCTTAAAGGAGCAAGAATTCCAGTGTTCTAATTCGCATTCTTCGCATTCCAATACTAGAGAGGGAATGATATGAGAATATGGCAACCCGATTGCCACAGAAACCAGGACTACGAAAATTCGAGAACAAAAATATCTCATCGGGATCGGGGACTGCACAACCAGCCCCGTAGAAATAAGTTGTACAAATTAGCCACAAGTAATGGCAATTTCTTTTTCAGCAAAATAAATGCTTATGTACTTTTGAAGATAGAAGGAAGAAAACAAAGTCCTTTTATTTTTATCTTGTTTCTTGTCCAAACGATGAATTAATTTTATCATTTGAAAGTTAATCAAGTATTTCAAATGCTAGTGCCGGAATGAACACGAGATGTCCTCTTTAAGAGAAATGTAAACATAAGAGGGCCCTCTCTTATGAAACCCTCACAGTAAAGGGTTGGTTCCGGAAGAATTTATGACCAAAACCCAAATGCTAGCGGCAAAAAGTGCACCCGAAGCCTTGCATAATTCGACGCAAAAAAGTAAACTTTGGGCACTGCTTAAACGAAAAGCACTTTTATTTATCAAACGTTCCAAACAACACAAGTACAAAAATACGAAAAGAAAACAATAAAGGAAACGAAAGCAAAAAACTAAGCTATATCGCCCCAGAGCTTGGGGGGAGAGAATCATATACGCTCTTAGGAGAAGTAGGCAGATCTGCCGTCAGCTCGGGATCTTGGCCTTCATCATCATCCCTTAAGTTCTTCCTTGGTTCCCGAGAACTCAAAACCGGAACCAAAAGAGTCAGTTGCATCGGGTTGAGCCGGGAGGCATCTTTGAGCTGTTGACTCCAGCACTCGGGCCTTGGCAATTTCGGTATCAATATCAATGACGTCCGCTTTGGCCTCTTCAAAGGTTTTTCTCCTCATGCTATACATAGAATGTGTTTTTTTCAATTATGAGGGAATGCGCTCGGCGTTGGAGTATTGATTTAAGCCGATCAACCTCGCTCGAAAGGCCATCCCGCTCGGATCTAGTAGCGCTAAGGCTAAGATCAAGGTCACGGATAGTGGCTATATGAACCTTATCCATGATCCTCTTATACTTATCCTCCATCTGGGCACGCTTCTCCTCGGCAGCGGCCTCTACAGTCTTGGAATTCAAGGCTGCCTCCAAGTTATTTACCCGTTCAGTGGAGGTTGCCTCGCGCTCGGCGGAAGTAAGCATAGCGTTTTGGACCTCAGACCATTTAGCATTGGCTTTTTGAAACCGGGCATTTAACTAGGAAGCTTCTTGGCTAAGGGCCATCATTTCTGGATTGCTCTGCTGCAACCGAGACTCTAACTCACCGGCTTGAGCAGCTTGCGCTTCCAGCACCAGGAGGCAAGCAACAACTTTGTCCCTCCCGGCCAACAGTTGATCCCTCTCGGACGTAAGCTTTTCTTTATCGAGGATCAACTTTTGAAGGCCCTCAGAATCAAGAAAGTCAGCCTGTGAAGCAAAAACCCAAGTTAGAGATCCTGTCATAGCAAGTCAAAAGGAAATAGACAGTAAAAAGAACAAGTACCATACTGCTGCTGCGTTGTGCATGGCGTTATTTATCATACACCCTCGAAAGAGAGTGTATTTTCTTCTTGTCTTTCTCTAAAACCAGCGGCTTCAGGTAATTGGCGAGTTCCACCGGTCGGGACAACAGATGGCGCTCGGTAGATACCGAGAGGGAGACACTCTTCCTCCTCTGAGGATATGCAGAAGAGGGTGAATAATTGTGCCCCATATTTCCATGGTCTGGGGATTGGGGAGGAGGGACATCCTCTTCTCGAGTGTTTGCGGCCAGTGGGGATGATGTAGCAATTGCCGATGACGAAGGTATGGCTAGCGTAGAAGGAGATGAAACTTATGGTATTGTGGGTTGAGAAGCAGCTGCGCCAAAGGCAGTGCTCGTTGTTGGTTGCTCACCAACCAAGGACAGAAGAGGCCCAGTACTCAACCTCATTGTACCGAGAGCAGCAACTAGGACTGGAAAGGGAGAATTGGTATTCTCCACCAAGTCAAACTCTCCCTAGAGCGCCTGGGCATCGTCCCCGGTTGGGGTTATAAGCTCTTCAGATTGAGCATTCTGTTGAGCTGATGAAGGTCGTTGTCTCCTTTGTGGGCCCTTCATCACTGGCTTCCTCTCATCATAATCAATCATCACAATGATTGAGGCTGGCTCGGGCGCGGCTTTATTCACCTTTTTATTCTTGCCCTTGGCCGAGGAAGAACACTGCCTTTTTAGTTGCTTGTTCTCCGGCCAGGGAATCCGAGAGGAAGTGCTTGCACCGGAAGCAGATCCGATAGCGCCAGTTTGGGTGAAAGCCTCCTTCAGCAACCTCGTAGCCTCCTCAGCCAAAACATCCTCCTCAGGGATGGCAACAGAGCCTCACGGAGACCTCAATTCAACGAAAAAAGAGGTTAATCAATTTTCTTATGCACAAAAATGAGATAGGGGACAAAATCAGTTTCACGGGTCAACTTACCATGATCTTTGGCCTTCCACCCGTATTTGGGGGCCAGTTCTTTCCACCGACGGATCTCAGGCGTGGTAATATCCAGAATCTTCTGGACACATTGGTCCAATCCTTCAACCTTGGTGGTGTCCACCGGGTTGCTGAAATAATTAAAAGAAAAGGATCGGCAACGACACGAAACAACCTTTTTTCAGAAAAAAATACAGACTTTGAACTTATGCGTATGAGTCCGAAAATCATGGAAAGATTGAGTTGTGGCCGGGATGATATCTCTGGTGGCAACAATGACAAACCGCTCCATCCATCCACGGTCGTTGTCATCATTTATGCTGGTGAGCAAAGCATGGTGGCCACGTTTGCTAAACTTTATTACTCCTCCACGAAAAATCTTGGGGGAGTAGAGAGTCATCATGCGAGCCAAGGTGAGCTCCTCCTTCGTCTCTTGCACAACCGCCGTAGACAGGCCACCGTTCACCACACTGAAGGTCCCACCTATGCCAAACAAATCTGACAGTTGTGGCACAGCTCCAAAATCACGGGTTCAATTCCCCTGCTCAAGGAAAATGCACCCAAAGTAAATGGGTACATGTAAACGTACATGAATCCCTTCTTAGGGAAGGTTACTCGTTCCACCAGTTCGATAGCAATGATATTTAGATCATGACAATCACAATCCTCCTTCACAACAGGGATGGTGCAAGGGCGAACGGAAGAAGGGTATATTCCAACAGCCCAAGTTCGAGAACTTGAAGAAGGAAACTTCTCTTCGAAGTCCTTGGCTGTGTCGAGTCTTTTGGGAATGATGGTTCTCACCGTAGGGGGGTCAGCATCAACAGTGATTTCTTTGTTTTTGTTCTTCTTCGGACCCCCACCAATGAGAGAACCTGAGTTCTTGGAAGAAGAAGCCATGATCAGCAGAAGTTAATAGGAGTTCTTTGAAGAAGAAGATTAAAGAAGAGTGAAAGCATGAAAGAGTTGAATGCAAAGAAGTTGAGAGAGTTTGTAGTACTATGAAGGGTAAAAGAAGAAGAATGAGGTGTATAAATAAAGGAATAGGCGGCTAAAATTATGTCCATGATTACCTCGAGAATCGGCAAAAATATTGCTAAATTGTGGAGTAACACGTGTTCAGGGTATTTAATACGGAGAGACGTGCGTCTAATCAAGCATCAGAAACTTTTCAAAGGTTTCAGAAAATTTTCTGCCAAGAAAGGAATCTTCACTAACTTCCTGATGACACAAAGATGTGCCACCGAAAAGTAGGGGGACTATCTGTATAGGGTAAAATCGGTTCACATTAGATACTCGAATGATAGACTGACATGTGGAATCGGAGATAAACGAAATACGAAGTGAGTGAAAACAAAGACCGAGGACAACAACTTCTGTTGGAACCGGGCAGTCCCGAAGGGAACATTGTTAACGAGGGCAGATGAGTATTTGCCACCAAATGACATTCAATGAAGAATATTCCTCAGTATTAAATACACAATCCGTAATAGAGAATTTTGGCATTCATAGCCTGCCATTATATATTCATCAATGGCCCCGATTATTGTCATTTAAGAGCGGCTTGATCCTAGGACCTTGTTCCCTAGGCATAACTATAAATAGTGACTTCCACCCCCAATGTAAGATAGGAAAATTCTGACAAACTTATGCTACACATTATTCCAAGCTAAATAATACTTTATTTTCTGTCTATCAATATTCTTTTTGCTGTATTCGGAAGCTTTGCTCGCGGAAGCAAGCTATCTGCTATCTTATCTCGATTTTAATGCTAAGTTTTGCATTATATTTAATTTAACTATCATTTTGGGTTCAAATCGATTCGTTTGTCTATAAACCACGCTATAAATTTAAATGTACCGTTTTACGGGTAAACAATAGATTAGGAGAAACACCATAACTTACTTCTTTCTCTTGGGCCGCTCTACGCTGAAAATAAACAATTCTCTTCACTTATCTATCCTAGATCGAGAAATCAAAAGGATATGCTGTTGCTCTATTATTAAACTGTACAAGGTTCTATCTAGCATTATTAATTGGCTTGTTGTATTACGGCATGCAATCTTATGAAAAGTACAAATAAGGTGTACAATTGCTATGCTAATAGTGAAAGCGTGACACTATAAACTTGCACCAAACTTAAAGTAAAAATAAAATAAAACTGCAATTACAAATAATAAAAATAGAGTTAAGAGTCTGGTACGTGCAAAACATATATAGTATCAAATTATATGCAAATTGAGAGGAACAATATAATATCTCAACTTTACAACAAACTATATACTATTTTCCATATCAACCTTAAATATTACTCCAAGCAAGCTATTTCAACACCACCCCCCTCAACCCCCCCCCCCCCCCCTAAAAAAAAAAAAAGAAAAAAAAATTACTACTTGTATATCTCTTCTCTGACAATTGGAAGTATGACTATACTAATTATTAAGCAGACTCTATCTATACACTAAAGTACAAATCTCTTTTTTTCTATATAAAAAAAAAAGAATATTTCCTATATACTAGAAATTGTGTGGTTTTCATGTTCCAAGATTACCTGCAACAAAATCTGGTAATAGTTGAGAAGGGAACCGCTTATTCTGAAAATCAATGTTCTCATAGCTCATTCTATTGAACTCAATAGTATTTTGGTAACTCTGTTGGCTCAGGTTTTCAGAATTAGGAGGAAGCCCTAAAGTAAGAGAGACACCATTATTTCCATGAAAATTTGTTGCTGCCATTTGTTCATGCGGATTAAACCTTCCAAATTCTCCCATTGTATATACTGCTGCTGCATCCATTAAAGGATTGAACCCTTTGTTTGATTGATGATCTCTAGCTTTGGTTTCGGCCATGTCCACCGATGAAAGAATACTACTTGGAGAATTATTATGCATGTCATGGTTTCTTGGCTTTTTAGCAGTAGTATTATTTTCCATGTTTAATGAACCAAGAAAGGAAAAGTTGTGAGCTTGTACTGCTTGAAAGGAGCCACATGCAGTAGGAGAAGTTGAACTAGTTGAGGTTGCAATTTCTGTTGGAGTACCATTTTCTTGTGGAGCACTTGATTTTGAGACCATTTTCTCTTTGTTGGATTCATTTTTGTTTTTGTTTTCTTCTAATGAGCTATTCTGTTCTTGATTATTCTTCACTTCTTCCAAGTACATTTCTTCCACCATTGGCTTCCATAGTCGAACTCGAGCATTTATGAACCAGTTGGAGACCTGCAATGGATCTTTTATAAATAGGAAAAAGAACTAATTAATCAAGAATTAATAAAAGTAGAATGTGTGTCCAAGAACCTGGCTCCTTGTTAGCCCGGTTTGCTTCGCAAGCATGATTTTGTCTGAATCCTTGGGATAACTGCAATACAAAAAATCAAAATAAATAAATAGTTGTCCTTGTTAATAACAAAAATTACAACAAAGATATTAGTGACAAGAACCTGGTAATTTAAAAGCAGCTCTTTCTATTAGAGAAGGATAATTTATTTTTAAGAAGATTTATGTTTACAACTAGTCAATGACTTAGAAATGAGTGTGATTTAATTGTATGCATATATAGTTCGACGTAAAAATAATATATTCAATTAGACTGAAGAATAGACATCGGACTGTTGGGTGTGCGAACAAAGTCCTACATTGGTAGCTGAAAAGATTGGGAGTCTACATATAAGGTGTAGAGATCTCTTAATGGTGTGAGGCCTTTTGGGGAAAACCGTGCGGGCTTGGCCCAAAGCGGATAATATCACACCATATTAAGAGTGTATCTGGGCTAGTTTAGCCCAACACGGACATCCTAATTACTCCGCCTTTGGTTTTAGAATTATTAGTAAAAACCTGGTAAGAAGCAATTTTTATTTGAGGGTAGATATTTTTCACACCATTAGTGCATAGATGTGAGTATACAAAATTAAATACTTACGGATGAAGAAAATGCTCGAAAAGCCAAGCACGAAGGACAGAGACAGCTCTTTCAGGTAAACCTCTTTGGGGTCTCCAAGCATTTGGTTGCATCATTCCTAGTTGTTGAAGTGCACGTTGTTGCCTAAGATGATGGTCTACAAATTTTAGTCGCGACCCTTCAATTTTCCCTCCTACGCCTTGATCTTCTTCACCTAAACTCTTCCTCGTGGCCTTTATTTGTCCAACAATAGTATCTTTTAAGCATCGGAATTGCTTCGAAATTGCATGCAAAGCCAGTTGTGTGTATGATTTTGCAGATCCAATTCCTGCTACTTGCTCGAATGTTGATACAATTATTTGCATTTGGTGACGGTACTGTCTGTATCTTTGCTCCACCTAAACCAACCAAAAAAAAAGGTCATTACCTTTCATACCAATAAGTCGTTTTATAACACCAAATTATTTGATGTTGGCTAGTAGTAAAGGTGGAAAGACCTTTTGACACAACGATAAAATTTGAGTACGTAATTCTAATTACTACTACTTTAATAAGAAATTGAAGAGCGCTTTGGGGTATTGTAAGTGACAGAGTAGCCTTGCCGCCTAAATTCAGCCCTTGTCTTTGAAAAGCTCTCCGTTGAAAGATTCCAAGTAAGAAAAATTAGTGAATATATATGAGTTATTGCTTTGAATTTTCGCCTAGGGGAAGACAGTATTTTGGTTCCTATAGTGTACTATTAACTTTAGCTTTAGTTGGACCCGCAGAAGAAAATTTTAGAGCCACACATTGTCAGCTTCGATTATCAACAGAGAAGAAACGTGATTGGGGTCTTAATTTTATAGCCATATATAGTACGTTTTCATCTCCGCCACAAAATTAAACTTTGAGAAAAAAGGTAAATAATAGAGTAGATATAATTAAATTGTTTTTACAGTTATGAATCATTTGATTGATTTATTATCTAGACAAAAGTCCACGTCAAGGAAGCTAAAGTTTGACAATTTTGATGAAATTAGAATGAAGCTGGAAAATGAAAAATAAGAAAAGATGGATATATAGAAGTTGAAGATATATGAATTGAAGTATGTACCTCTTCAAGCATGGTAACAAGCTTGGCTTTTTTCATTTGAAATTCTTGTCTTTGAGCAGTTGTTAGTTCAGCAACTCCATATTTCTGCTTGCTGCTACTTTCACCTCCACTATTAGTACTAGTGTTCACATCACTAGCCAAAGGCAATATTGATTCTTTATTTATTAATTCCTCCTTCTCTATTTCACCTCCTTTGATGCATTTTCCAACACTAACAACTTCATCTAGAAGCTCTTGTGCAGCTTTCAGGTACTTAGAGCCTAAAACCATGCTGGAAATTCCATCTAATCCTCTATTAATATTTGATCCAACTTGATTCTGAGCTGAAATGTTATTGAAACTAATTTGTTGTTGTTGAGGAGAAAGGCTTAGCGATAGACTACCTTGTTGTTGTTGGTGTGTCGGTAACATGGTTATTGGCCTCTGGAACCCCAACTGAGAGGCCAAGTCCGTGGTGGTGCCGCCACAGGAGGTGGCGGAAACCACCGTGGATGATGGTATAATCTGGTATTGGTGATGATGATTTCCATTTCCACCACCACTACCACTTTGGTTCCACAGGCGGTGGATAAGCTGGGCATGATTCTGATCGTGCAAACTAACAGCCGGAAGAGGGACGCCGACAAAGTGCTGCTGTGCCTGCTGCAGCGGCGCGTGGGGTATAATTTGTTGCTGATGGTGTTGTTGTTGTTGTTGTTGTTGTGTGTCAGTGTACCCTTGATGAATATAGTTAGGGTTCATCAGATAAAGTGTCTGAATATTACCATCAGTGGCTTGATGAATATTATCCGAGGTTCCTTGATAGTACATAGAAGCAGATTGCAGGAAGAATAATTTTAACTTCACAATCAATCAAGAAATTAAAGTCCTTCTTTGTTTTTCTTGAAGGAGAAGAAGAAAAGATATTAACTGAGACAGCTTTGTTGATTGTAGTAACAGAAAATGGATAAAATACACAGACTCACATGTGTGTCTAACTAACTCTCTATCTTGGATAGCTCTAAGCTTGAGAGGTTGCCTTCTTGTCAGACTGATCACTTTTCTATGCAAACTCAGATTAAAGGGAAAAAATATGAATAAAGAGATGTGGGGTTACCCCACCCTACCCTCTATACCAACTATTCCTCTCCTAGCCACCCCATAACAGGACAAATTAGAAAAGAAGAGAGAGAAAGAAAATGATACTCCTAGACTAAGATTTTTTTATACAAATAGCTGGTCGGAATTTATTGTTTAATTTTCTAGACGCTCTCTATATATATATTCACCAATTATTTTCAGTTTAAAGGATTGAGTGAATATTTTTAGGTTAATTCTTCCTTTTTTCTCTTCTTCACTATTTTAATTTAGTGTTAGGTAAATCATAGGACAGTAATTTGGTCCAAATTAATTATTTATCTGTAATGCAGTTAAGACTCCAGATCTAAGTTCTCTTTATCTATGGAGCGTGTGTTTAATTAGTGCGGCGGAAATTTTTCTCGTAAAATGTTTTTAAACAAGTAGTCTTTTTATGTTTAATTGTCAGAAAAGTCTCCCACTTTTGGGTAGAAATTATCTTTCTTATAGTTATCTCAACTCTTGACTTCGTAATACTACACTCAAACCAACACCTAAACAATATTACCATTCTTTAGCAAATACATTGTATACCGTCGAAATCAGGCACGCTCGATTTTTCAGGCTCGAGGAATCACCTTAGGTCTGAGTTCGAGTAAGGCCGAGTTTGAGATCGACGAACCAGGCTCGAAGACAGAATGCAATACCCAAAGACAGGAGTACGAAGAATATCGAAGCCGAGTATGCTCGACCCCGAATAATGCCATTATGTATTTGTAACAGAATGAGCAAGATTCCTGCCACGTCCCCAAGATCATGGCGCAAATCCCGGAATAAGATTGTCGATACTAGGCGGTTAGACAGCTGTACCAATAATATTCCTTGTTGTAAATAGAAATGTACCTTGTTTAGGGTTTCCCTATTATATAAAGGGCACCCCAATCATTTGTAACATGATCTGGTCATTGGCAAAAAATATACCATCCTACTTTTCTTGCTTAATATTCATCAGAGTTGTTCTTTTACTTTATTGTTCTTGGTCCATCTCGAGGTCACTGAGCTCGAGGTCAACTGCTTAAGTAACACTGGTTTGATTCATCCATTTCTTTCATCTACACTCTATATTTTTTGATTATTAATTGGTATAGAATTAAATCACATATCTTTAAAACCACAAATCAAATTTAATTGTTACTCGTATTTTCGAGGTAAACAGTTTGGCGCTCACCGTAGGGCTAAAGATAATAGTGATTATTTCTTTACTGATTCTCATTACACACGTTATTTTTATGCTTTTTCTTGTCAAGATTTTCTGATTCTCAGGATTAAACTTGTCGAACTCGCAAAATGCACCTGTCCATGACGACGAAGGTCTTGGATTTCATGGGGAAAACAACAATTTAGGGGTCGGTGTACCACCAATAAACCCTGGGGAAGTGCCAAATGTGGAACCAGTTGATGTCAGTTCACACATTGCTTTGGATGCAGATTTAGGCACAGACCCCCGAGGGAGTGTACGCAGAGAAGCCCGATCCGGGGGCAAGGAACACCAGGTATAGGAGATGGGGGAGTCAGCCTCTAAGTGATATTCGAGATGCTGCAAGCTCAGCAGATCGCCATCGCCCAACTTTAGAGTCAGAATAAAACTCCGAGTATAGCTGAACCAGAAAACACTCGACATGCTGAACCAGCGCCAGAGAGGTCGGACAGAAATGATTCGGGGATTGACCCCACCATTATGAGGATGCTCGAAGAGCTCACCAAAAGGATCGAGTCCGGGGAAAAGAAGATTGAGGATAATGATAAGAAGGTGGAGACTTATAACTCCCGTGTTGACCAGATACCGGGGGCACCTCCGGTTTTGAAGGGTTTAGATGCCAAAAAGTTCATAAAAAAACCGTTCCCTCAGAGCGCGGCTCCGATGCCCATTCCTAAGAAGTTTCGCATGCCCGATATACCCAAGTATAACGGGACAAGCGACCCTAACAAACATATTACTTCATACACTTGAGGGATCAAGGAAATGACTTGAACGACATGAGATCGAATTCGAATTGTTAAAAAAGTTTGGAGAAACATTGTCAAAAGGAGCTATGATTTGGTATCACAACTTGCCTCCTAATTCTATTGATTCATTTGCTATGTTAGCAGACGCCTTTGTGAAAGCACATGCCGGAGCCATAAAGGTGGCAACAAGAAAAGCAGACGTCTTCAAGATAAAACAAAGGAACAATGAGATGTTAAGGGAGTTCGTGTCTAGGTTCCAGATGGAGCGAATAGAGTTACCACCGGTCTCGGATGACTGGGCAGTACAAGCTTTTATGCAGGATTTGAATGAAAGGAGTCCGATCGCGTCTCGACAACTAAAGCAGAATCTGATAGAGTATCCAGCTGTGACGTGGTCGGACGTACATAACCATTACCAATCAAAGATCAGGGTCGAGGACAACCAGTTGGGAGCCTCCTCGGGTTCAGTTCATCCTAACAGGTCGACAGCTAAGCCCCCGAGGAATACAGACAGGGAATCGAGGTCAAACAAAGAACGGTATGTTGATCAGAGAAATAATGGTTCGGGCCGTAACACACCCCGGAATGATCGGAGAAACGATCGAGGTCAAAGCTCTCGGGGACTCATAAGTAAAAGCGGGTTCGATAAACACACCGATCCCGTAGAGGCGCCTCGATTGTCAGAGTATAATTTCAGTGTAGACGCATCAGGGATCGTGTCAGCTACTGAAAGAATCAAATACCAGGTGGCCCAGGCCTATCCAAACCGATCCTTCTCAGAGGAATCCAAATTTGATGTGTAAGTATCATGGCACACATGGCCATAAAACTGAAGACTGTAGGCAGCTAAGGGAGGAGGTAGCTCGGCTGTTCAACGAAGGTCACTTTTGAGAATTCCTCAGTGATCGGGCTAAAAACCATTTCAGGGAGAGAGATGCAAGAAAAAATGAGCAGGAAGAAACCACAACATGTAATCCACATGATCGTTGGCGGTGTCGACATCCCACAAGGACCTGTGTTCAAATGCACCAAGGTATCGATCACCAGAGAAAAACGGACTCGGAGCTATGTGCCCGAGGACATCCTATCATTCTGTGACGAGGAAGCACAAGGCCTCTCCCAACCGCACAACGACGCCCTGGTAATCCCTATTTTTTTAAATAAAATTTAGTTAAGTGTGTTCTAGTAGATCTAGGTAGCTCAACAAACATAATCAGATCGAGGGTCGTGGAACGACTCGGCCTACAAGATCGGATTGTACCTGCGTCCCGGGTCCTGAATGGCTTCAATATGGAAAGTGAAACAACAAAGGGGGAGATAATCCTACCAGTAAACGTAGCCGGAACCGTACAGGACATGAAATTCCATGTCATCGAAGGCGACATGAGGTATAATGCACTCCTCGGGAGACCATGGATACACAACATGAGGGCAGTGCCTTCAACTCTTCACCAGATGATGAAGTTCCCAACAGAGGAGGGAGTGAAAACAGTTTACGGAGAGTAACATACCGCAAATGAGATGTTTGCAGTCGAGGAAATGGTGCTGATACCAGAGCCTTCAACCTCGAAGAAATCGAGCACCAAAGGTAGGCAAGCAGCTAAATAACAATCACCGCCCCCCCAGCCTCGACGGAATCAGAGCAACAGGTAATCAAAGACGAAGAAGAGGACTTCCTTATTCCTCGAACCTTCGTCGTTCCCGAAGAGTCCGATGCAACCAAATCAACTGTCGAGGAACTGGAGCAGGTCATACTGATCGAATACATGCACGATAGAAAGGTATACCTAGGAACGGGATTAACCCCCGAACTCAGGAAAAAACTCATTCAATTTCTTATTGATAATATGGATTGCTTTGTTTGGTCCCATTTAGATTTGACAAGGATTCACCGGAAATCACCACACATCGGCTAAGCATCGACCCCAGGTTCAAACCGGTAAAGCAAAAAAGGAGGCCCCAGTCCGAGGCAGAACATGTGTTCATAAAGTACGAGGTAATCAAACTTCTTAAAATAGGATCTATTCGGGAGGTAAAGTACCCCAAATGGTTAGCCAATGTAGTTGTAGTTCCTAAAAAAAGAAACAAACTTAGAATGTGTGTAGACTATAAGGACTTGAACAAAGCATGCCCGAAAGACTCTTTCCCACTGCCCAACATTGATCATCCGATCGATGCCACGGCCGGCCACGAGATCGTGACTTTTCTCGACGCCTACTCCGGGTACAATCAAATTCAGATGAACCCGGAGGACCAGGAAAAGACTTCGTTTATTACTAAATTTGGAACTTGTTGTTACAACATAATGCCCTTCGGGCTAAAAAATGCGGGAGCTACATATCAACGCCTAGTCAACAAAATGTTCGAAGAACAAATAGGTAAAACAATGGAAGTTTACATTGATGATATGTTGGTTAAGTCCCTGCGTGTAGAGGACCATTTGACTCATTTGTAGGAAACATTCAAAATTTTGAGAAAGTACAACATGAAGCTTAACCCGGAGAATTGTGCCTTCGGAGTTAGATCGGGTAAGTTCCTCGGCTTCATGGTGTCAAATCGGGGTATCGAAATTAACCCAGACAAGATCAAGTCCATCGAGGATATCACGGTCGTGGATAGCGTGAAAACTGTGCAACGGTTAACGGAACGAATTGCTGCCCTGGGTCGGTTCATTTCGAGGTCATCAAATTAGAGTCACCGGTTCTTCTCTTTGCTCAAAAAGAAAAAGGATTTTGCATGGACCCCGTAATGTCAGCAAGCTTTAGAAGAGTTAAAGCAATATCTATCGAGCCCGCCTTTGATTCATACCTCGAAGCTAGATGAAAAAACTTTACCTATACTTGGCAGTGTCCGAAATAGCGGTAAGTGGTGTATTAGTTCGAGAAGAGCAAGGTACGCAATTCTCTATTTATTATGTGAGCCGAACTTTAGGAGATGCTGAGACTAGATACCCTCACTTAGAAAAATTAGCACTTGCATTGATAAGCACATCTAGGAAGCTAAAACCATATTTTCAGTGTCATCCCATATGTGTATTATTACCCCTTGTGAAACATTTTGCATAAGCCCGAGCTATCGGGCCGGTTGGC